TTTGTAATTTTCGCATTGCAGAGGTTGAGGTCTAATCTGTTCTTTGTCTATCACTTTAGCTTACCTTTTTCGATTCTTTCGCAACTACTTGTGTTCTTTTGTCTTAGCTGTTTTATTATTTGTTAAAAGTTTTCAGTATTTTTTTTCACTTTCGCCATCATCATCATCGTCATCGTAGATGTCATAATGGCAAACGGGCAAAAAGACAAGAAGTCCTTCAACCTCAAGAAAACAAAACATCGGAAAGAAAAGTAAACCTTGACACCAGCATCTAAACTGGTAGATAAGCTATGCGAGTGGGTAGAGGAATCAACAAAAAAGAGCAAACAAACCAACAAAAAACTTGTGTACATTTCGAAGGTGGTAAGGGGTGATGGTAAACCGTAAACCGAAAAAATAAAAACAAAAACTTGAAAAAGCCAAGTAACCGGTATAAGCCTATGGCAACATTAAGTTGTTACCTTTTCCATTGCGTTTCTGTTTGGTTTCACCAAAAAAAGAGGGGGAATAGCAGATCCATAGATCATTGCCCATTCTGTCAAGCACTACAGCATTTGAAATGTAAGCAAACATTAGCATAGTTGACATAACAATACAAACACAGAAAAAACACAAACCCCACACATCGAAAAAAAGAAACTAAGGCCAATCCTGATTGAGGGTTCTTCTGTCAGCACACACACACATTCATGTTTTTCAAAAGAAAAACAATACGCTTTCATTTTGTAGTCTTACCCCCAAAGAAAAGGACCGTTTTCAATTTCCACCCCGTTAACTTTTATGGATATAAATTGGATGAATTCGAAAATTTGCATTACAAAAACGTGAAACAAAAACAAAAAGATTTAGAGATTTAGGAATTTAAAAATAATGAAATAGGATTTAAAAACAAAAATCTCTAGTTCTAAAATTGAAGGGAAATCTTATTTCTCCGAACGTTGGTGTGTATAAGTGTTGTCATAACTTATACGCTTACGGGGATTCGGATTTTATAATGAAGTGCGCCTTGAATAATTTCTAGTTCTGAAAGGAAATATTTTTTGTAATTCTCCGAATACCTGTGTGTATTAGTGTTGTCATAACTTATACGCATACGGGGCTTCAAATTTTATAACGATCCTCTTTGGCACTGATTGGGTCCAGTAAAAATATTATTTAATAAATCAAAAATATTATTTAAAACTATATATATCCTCGCCTATTCTAAACCCTGAAAATATTCTTAGAAAATGCACGCCTGATATTTGAAACCTCTAGACGTCAGCCAATATTACTAATATCCAGTACAGCCCTTCTAATTACTTGTCCAGATTCCCTTCACCGTGGGTTGTGTTGTGATGTTCGGCTTTCAATTGTCGGTCCACTGCATCATCCAATCAATATTATTATCTGATCATCACCCAAAATTATAGGCGTTATCCTTGACCATACCTGGATCCTCATGGAAAATTTTAAAGCGATCAGCGCCATATTTCCGCCTCTAGTGTGGTAATGTGTGACTAAATAATATCAGAATACGTAAGCACCTCTAAATATTTAAGTGTAACTCCCACATCCAAGTACATACTACAATGTAATTGGTATAAATTTAAAGGCCATCCACTCCTCTAGCAACTTCTCGGGTCTATGTCCTTCAGGAGTAAATATATACGCCATGGAATACAAATTTTGTCATTTTTCACACGAAAGTCAGGGTCCATTTGACCCGCTAAATATTGACCGATCTTTATCAAAACAGTCATGCATATTATTTGGCCCGATCTCCTTTACCATGTAAAAATTCGCGATGTTTGGACTAGAAAATCAGAAAAAAATTTAGTTTTTTTCCATTGCATCACCTAAATATTAACCGATCTTTAACGAAAACAATATGGGTCTTCATTGACCAGAACCCTAAAAATATTCTTTGAAAAATCCACGCCTTATGATGACCCCTAAAAATATTCTTTGAAAAATCCACGCCTTATGATGACCCCTAAAAATATTCTTTGAAAAATCCACGCCTTATGATGACCCCTAAAACTATTCTTTAGCAAATCTACGCCTGATGATGACCCCTAAAAATATTTCTTGAAAAATCCACGCCTTATGATGACTCCTAAAAATATTCTTTAACAAATCCACGACTTATTATGACCCCTAAAAATATTCTTTAACAAATCCACGCCTTATGATGACTCCTAAAAATATTCTTTAACAAATCCACGCCTTATGATGACTCCTAAAAATATTCTTTGGAAAATCCACGCCTTATGATGACCCCTAAAAATATTCTTTGGAAAATCCACGCCCTATGATGACTCCTAAAAATATTCTTTGGAAAATCCACGCCTTATGATAACCCTTAAAATTATTCTTTGAAAAATCCACGATTTTACAGTTTCTTGAAAAAATATTCTTCAAAAAATCCAGGCTTAATTTATATCCTTCAAAAAACCCTTTTAAAAAAGCATGCCACATATAGATCCTGAAAATGTTTTCTTTAAAAAATCCAGATCTGAAAATAAAAATTGTCAAAACATCCACGATATTTGTTGCGTCGTAAAATTATTATTTTCAAAATATACGTCTGATATAGGCCTTGTTCATATATCTTAAAAATATCACCTTTTCTGTTCGATGGTGCGTATGAGTATTGTCAAATGTAATACGCCCCAAATGCTTATAAAGTCCTACACCAATCACTTATTTATATGGCATAAAACTAATCTTACCTTTTTAAACTCGAATATCAGTCCCCTCTCTTGAATTTTTCCAATTCACCGGTATTTTAATCCTGAAAATAAATATAAACAAAAATTATTTATTAAACAAATAAAGCATATTTTCATTACACCATAACCAAATAATGAAGAAAATAAAGAAGGAAAAGAAACCCCTCCAAAAAAAATCAAAAAACAACAACAATTAATTGTGGGTCATAAATATCCTTAAGCCCCCAAGCATCAATAACAGGCGATGATGGGTGGCAGAATAGATGAGGAAAATTCAATATTGAACACACACTCAACTGGAGTGTATTGTTTGGAGTTGGGTGGGTGTGTATGAGTTTGTGTGTGTGTTTGAGACGATTTCATCAATAAGGATATGTTAACACTTGACTGAAATCGACACAAGAAGAAAAGAAAATCCCTTTTTGAAAGGCATCCAGCAATTATAAACTCATTTTGTTATGCCATGAAAGCAAATAAATAGATCAACATTTATTAACGAATTTCCCTTTTACCGACATGGTTATCATCAGGGGGACAGACACAAAGTAGGCAGGGAAACGCTCATCCATTTTGGTGTATTGGAATTTGTAATACAGAATTAAAACATTAATTTTTAAGGCAGCAAAAAATATAAAATTATTCATAAGGCTTCTGCAGATGGAAAAGTTCCTCCCTTGAAATATTTTCCCTCTTGAAATTTCAATCAATTTCTTCTTCATCTATGGGAGTTCCTACAAAATGATTCCTCTGCGTTGCTGCCTTGCTGTTGTCCCCGTGAACCAAAAAAACAATTTACACCTCAATTTAACTTCATTAATAGACATAATTATTTTAAATTGACTTGTAATTTGTTAACATAAAAAAAAAACTTAATTTCAATACATTGGTCTGGCCATTAAATATTTACGATATCCTAAACGCTATTCTATCCCTCCCTCATTCTTCTACGGCAAATGTATGTTAAGCTTTCCAAAGGGAAACATAAAAATTGATGTGAGGAAAATCTTCTTCGGCTGTTATTCTAGTACTCACAAAATAATCTACACCATTGTAGCCGATAATGTGCAAAAGAAAGTAAGGAATTAATCCCCTAATAGTTCATTGGGACGTAAAAGTGTTGTCAGCCATCATACGCACCAAGGGTCAATAAGATATTTAATTAATAATGGAAATGTTCTTAACTTCAAATATTTAAAAAAAATCTAGACGTTATGCCTCTTTAGCTAAAAATATTAAAAAAATCCACGCCTGGATCCTGGGTCCCTCAAAAATTATTTAAAAAATCCATGCTTAGGCCTTCTGAATCCCTCAATCCTCAATCTGTATCTATCAAAAAATATTTTAAAAAAATCCACGCCTTAGGCCTTCTGGATACCTCAAAAAATATTTAAAAAGTTCATGCCTTAGGCCTTCTGAGTCCCTCAAACAACTATTAAAAAAGGCTATGCCTGAGGCCTACTGGGTCCCTCAAAAAATATTTAAAAAGTTCATGCCTTAGGCCTTCTGAGTCCCTCAAACAACTATTAAAAAAGGCTATGCCTGAGGCCTACTGGGTCCCTCAAAAAACTATTAAAAAAGGCTATGCCTTAGGCCTACTGGGTCCCTCAAAAAATTATTTTAAAAACCCACGCCTGGGGCCTTTTGGGTCCCTCAAAAAATTATTTTAAAAATCCACGCCTGAGGCCTTCTGGGTCCCTCAAAAAATTATTTTAAAAATCCACGCCTGAGGCCTTCTGGGTCCCTCAAAAAATTATTTTAAAAATCCACTCCTGAGGCCTACTGGGTCTCTCTAAAAATTATTAGGCCTTCTGAGTACCTCAAAGATTTTTTTAAAAAATATACCCCTTAGGCCTTCTGAGCACCTCAATTTTTTTTTTTTTTTAAATATTCGCCTTAGGCCTTCTGATTACCTCAAAAAATTATTTTAAAAAAATATACGCCTTAGGCCTAATGCCTTCAGGGCCCCTCAAAAAATTCTTTTAAATATCCAAGCCTAATGCATTCTGGGTCTCTCAAAAAATTCTTTTAAAAATTCACGCCTAATGCCTTCTAGGTCCCTCAAAAATTTCTTTTAAAAAATCTACGCTTTAGGCCTTCTGGGTCCCTCAAAAATTATTAAAAAATACATGCGTTATGCCTTCAGGGACTTTCAAAAAATATTTTAAAAAATCCAAGCCTTAGGCCTTGTTAGCTGCTTAAAAAAATTCTTTCAAAAGTAATCCACGTCTATGGCCTCGATAACCCCCCAAAAATATATTTTAACAATTTTCCCTTTCTCCTTTTTAGGTATTTCTATTGGCCCATTGTGATGACAATGGTCTGTATGTCAGGACATTGGCCACTGGCAAGGAACTCTACACCCTAAAGGGTCATAAATCTAGGGTAAGTTTCAAAAGGGATTCCCAAATCACAATTTGTTTTGAAAAAATATATTTTTCGATTTTTTTTTCAAATTTTTCTCTCCTAGATACGCACAATTTCCATAGCCCGTGATAGCCAACGAGCCGTAGTCGGCTGTGAAGATACCCGAGCCTTGATCTACGACATGCATTCTGGCCGCTTAATACGTTCCATGCCACCCAATCCCGGTCCCGTAACCGCCCTCTATGCCATGGATAATGATGACTTCCTGATTACTGTGGGTGGCAATAAAATTACATTCTATTCGTTCCGCAACGAAGAACTCTATGTCCATCCCTATTCCCACAATCAGAAACGAAAGAGGTCCCTTAAGCGGACCACCCAAACACAGAGATCTCCCTCGACGACATTACCACCCATTACCTGTTTTGATGTGTCGCGTGATTCCCAACTGGTGGCCATTGCCTCCGGACGTCATGTCCACCTCATGCAAATAAATACCCCCGAATATCAGACCACCTATGATGGGCATGCTGCACCCGTAACCTGTCTCATGTTTGCCCCGAATGGTGAATACCTAGCCACCGGTTCCGATGATCGTATGGTTCATGTTTGGAGTGTGGCAAGTGGTTCCATATCGAATACCTTTAAAGGCCACGTGGCGCCCATTTGCAGTGTAGTGGTCCTCATGGATTCACGACGGATAATGTCCTCTGACCGTGATGGTTTAATATATGTCTGGATGTCCGACGGTGGTAATTTATTACAGACTATCCAAGGACCCTATAAATTCCTGGCCGCCACAAATAACATGAAATTTGCCGTATCCACAAATGGTGATAATACCCTGAAAATCTGGTCGCTCACCCGGGAAGATGAAAAATATTCGGTATCACATTCCGATGAAATAACCTGCTTTACCATAACAGCTGATAGTCTGTATATTATAACCGGATCGAGGGATATGTCACTGAAGGTCTGGCAGGCAACAGGAGGTAAATTGGCTCAGGTATTAGTGGGTCATTCGGATGCTGTAACCTGTGTGGCCGTCTCCGTGACAAATAAAACACAAGTCACTTCGGGATCTAAGGATACAAATTTAATTATTTGGGATTTGCATACGGGTGAGGAGATCCACACGTTGGCTGGTCATTTGGCACCGGTAATTGGTGTTAAAGTCTCGGCGGATGGTTCCACCGCCGTCTCGGGTAGTGATGACAAAACACTGATTGTTTGGGAAACCAAGCGGGGTTTGGCCCTGACATCGCTGCAGTTACATGTTCCCTTCCCACGTTTTGATATTAGCATGGATTGTTCGAGAATATTGGTCCAGCTGGTGGATAGTTTCAATTTACCCGTCATATGCCTGCACAATACCCCAGCCCAGTATATTAAATTGCCAACCTATTCAGCGCCTGCTAGAGATGTGGAAGGTAAGACAGGAACCCCTTTAAAAATATATTAAAAAAATTATTTCTTAAAGGCCTTATTTTTTTAAGCCTAAACTTCATTTTTTTTAAAATAGGCCTTTTAACAAAACATAAAAACAAATACCATAAAAAATATTTTAAAAAAAGCTAACATAAAAAAAAAAAAATCCATAAGGCCTTCTAGGCCTCAAAAATTATTTTAAAAACCCTAAACCTAAGGCCCTTAAAAAATCTTTTAAAAAACCCATGCTTAAGGTCCCTCACAAAATTCTTTAAAAAAACCCAAACCTAAGGCCTTCTGGGTCCCTCACAAAATTCTTTAAAAAAACCCAAACCTAAGGCCTTCTGGGTCCCTCACAAAATTCTTTAAAAAAACCCAAACCTAAGGCCTTCTGGGTCCCTTAAAAAATCTTTTTAAAAAACCCAAACCTAAGGCCTTCTGGGTCCCTCACAAAATTCTTTAAAAAAACCCAAACCTAAGGCCTTCTGGGTCCCTTAAAAAATCTTTTTAAAAAACCCAAACCTAAAACCTTCTGGGTTCCTCAAAAATGTATTTTAAAAATCCACGCCTAAGGCCTTCTGGGTTCCTCAAAAAATTATTTTAAAAAATCCACGCCTTAGGCCTTCTGGGTTCCTCAAAAAATTATTTTAAAAAATCCACGCCTAAGGCCTTCTGGGTCCCTCAAAAAATCTACGCCTAAGGCCTTCTGGGTCCCTTAAAATGTTTTTTTTTAATCCACGCCTAAGGCCTTCTGGGTTCCTCAAAAAATTATTTTGGGTCATTAAAAAATTGAATTTAAAAAATCCACGCCTGAGGCCTTCTGGGTCCATTAAAAAATCTACGCCTGAGGCCTTCTGTGTCCATTATAAAATCGTTAAAAAAACAAGCCTAAGGCCTTTTGGGTCCCTCAAAAAATCTTTTAAAAAACCCAAACCTATGGCCTTCTGGTTCCCTTAAAAAATCTTTAAAAAAATCCACGCCTAAGGCCTTCTGGGTCCCTCAAAAATTGAATTTAAAAAATTCACTCCTAATGCCTTCTGGGTCCCTCAAAAATTTAATATAAAAACTCCACGCCTAAGGTTTTCTGGGTCCATCAAAAATTTATTTTAAAAAATTCAATCTTAAGGCCTTCTGGGTCCCTCAAAAATTGAATTTAAAAAATCCACGCTTAAGGCCTTCTGGGTAGGTCCTTCAAAAATTATTTTAAAAAATCCACGCCTAAGGCCTTCTGGGTCCCTCAAAGATTGAATTTTAAAAACCTACGCCTTAGGCCTAGTTCGCTGCTCAAAAATTATTTTACAAAAATCCATGCCGAAGGCCTTGTTGGCCCTTAAAAACATTCTTTTATAAAATCCACATCAAAGGACCAACCTACAGTTTCACAAAAATTATTTTTAAAAATATATCCTTTCATTCCCATATTTTTTCAGATTTACGACCCCAAGGTCCCAAACGTCAAATGAAACGTCTGCTCAAGAAGGAAGTCTCCTTGGACACCTATACCTGGCAGAAGAAATACGGCCATTTGACGGCATCGGTTATGATGGCCCAGGTGGATGAGCGGCTAAAGCGACGTTTCTCCGTATCCGCCAGTATGGAAGAGATCTCCAAAATCGCTGAAATGAAAACGATAACATCACAAACCAATTTGGGTCCAGAACAGGCTGCCCTGGCCCAATCCCAGCACTTCGATCAATTAGAGGCTTTGTGGAATAAACGATCGCCGCCACGAAGAAGACACAATGCGGTAAGTTGAACAACTAAAGCTCCCCTCTTCCCTTATTTCAAACACATACAAATACGTTTTGAAAAAAGCTTTGTAGTAGGTAAAGCATTTTTGAATTAAAAAACTTAAGGTAAAAGCTTTGTAGTGTGAAAAAATTGTAGATCGTAAAGAAATATATAATATTGCCTATATATATTTTTGTGATGTCTGATCAGTTTCAGTTTTATTTTTTGAAAACAATACATTTAAATATTCAAATAAATTATCTATAGACTTTAGTACACTCCCTAGGTGGAGTACGCCTTGTTGCTTTACAAAATAAATAAATATTCAAATAATGGTTAATGGATAATCAAAATAACTGACTGATTGATTGAATGATAATTTAACTGCTTAAATGTCTAAAAAGTTTCAGTTCTGTGGTATTGTCAATTATTTTTTGGATTTTGAGTTTGTTTTTATTTATTTTTTCTTGTATTGTCATTTGTTGGACACAAAGCTTTCGCCGTCAATAAACAATTGTTTCCCACTTGAGTTTTATGTTAACAATTTATCACAAGGCTGAATAATAATGCTGGGCTACATCTAGATAAAATATTCTTTAATAAATCCACGCCTCTTCTAGGCCTTTAAAAAATATTATTTGATAAATCCACGCCTCTTCTAGGCCTTTAAAAAATATTATTTGATAAATCCACGCCTCTTCTAGGCCTTTAAAAAATATTCTTTGATAAATCCACGCCTCAGTTGGCCCTTGAAAAATATTATTTAATAAATCCACGCCTCAGTTGGCCCTTGAAAAATATTCTTTAATAAATTCACGCCTCAGTTGGCCCTTAAAAAATATTCTTTAATAAATCCACGCCTCAGTTGGCCCTTAAAAAATATTCTTTAATAAATCCACGCCTCTTTTAGGCCCTTACAAAAATATTCTTTAACAAATCCACGCCTCTTTTAGACCCTTGAAAACATATTCTTAAACAAATCCACGCCTCTTTTAGACCCTTGAAAAAATATTCTTTAACAAATCCACGCCTCTTTTAGACCCTTGAAAAAATATTCTTTAACAAATCCACGCCTCTTTTAGACCCTTGAAAAAATATTCTTTAACAAATCCACGCCTCTTTTAGGCCCTCAAAAAATATTCTTTAATAAATCCACGCCTCTTTTAGGTCCTCAAAAAATATTCTTTAATAAATCCACGCCTCTTTTAGGCCCTTACAAAAATATTCTTTTACAAATCCACGCCTCTTTTAGACCCCTGAAAAAATATTCTTTTACAAATCCACGCCTCTTTTAGACCCCTGAAAAAATATTCTTTTATAAAACGACGCCTCTTTTAGGCCCGTAAAAAATTCTTTTATAAAATCACACCTCTTCTAGGACCTTAAAAATATTCTTTTATAAAACCACGCCTCTTCTAGGACCTTAAAAATATTCTTTTATAAAACCACGCCTCTTTTAGGCCCTCAAAAAATATTCTTTAATAAAACCACGCCTCTTTAGGCCCTCAAAAAATATTCTTTAATAAATCCACGCCTCTTTTAGGCCCTCAAAAAATATTCTTTAATAAATCCACGCCTCTTTTAGGCCCTCAAAAAATATTCTTTAATAAATCCACGCCTCTTTTAGGCCCTCAAAAAATATTCTTTAATAAATCCACGCCTTGTGGTCGACTCCTTGAAAAAAAATTCTTTAATAAATCCACGCCTCTTTAAGGACCTCAAAAAAATTCTTTAATAAATCCACGCCTCTTTTAGGCCCTCAAAAAAATTCTTTAATAAATCCACGCCTCTTTTAGGCCCTCAAAAAATATTCTTTAATAAATCCACGCCTATTTTAGGCGCTTAAAAAATATTCATTAATAAATCCACGCCTATTTTAGGCCCTTAAAAAAGACCTGGAAAAAAAGTAGGTCCCTTCTTCGAAAAAAATTTAGCCCGGTATTATTACAAAGCTTTATTGTTTGTTAATCTCAAAACTTTATATAAAAAATATTAATAAGTTATATATCAGATTAAAACATATTACAAAAATATTGAAAAAACACTACTTTTATTTTATGTTCTTATTTGGCTTCTGTATTTTTCTTTCGTTTCTTTTTCCTTCCCCTATTTCTGGGAAAAAAATTCAAAACGAACAAAAAACTAATGGATAAACGAACACTTGCACCTCTGTGTCAACAACAAACACCTTACAATAACAACAACAACAAAAAATATGTTTACAAAATTTCTGAACACCCACCCATTTGGTCAACAAAACACACACACACACGCAACATCACACCTACCACGAAAAAAATACAACAACAACAACTAACCCAACAGGGTCTTTCGAGACAGACATCATTGGTCGAGGATCGTCTGGAAAGTTCGGATGATGATGATTATCATGATGAGCGCACAGGTATGTTGTCAGCATCCTACGATCAAATCCATAGATTAGCCTTACCGAACTCAAGCATGCCAACACCGCCACCCTCACCAATCCCGGCACGTTTACGACCCGTTTCTATGCACGCATGGATCACCAGTAGTTACAAGGCACTAAATTTCCATAACAATAACCACCACCACCACAACAACAACAACAGCAACAACAACCACCACCACAATCCGAAACAGCAACAACAAAAATTACATCCCAACAATCAAAATCAAAACAACAACAATACCCCACCATCCTCACCTTATCATCACCATTCACAAAATCACAAATGTCAGAATTTAGGTACCACCTCCCCCTCCTCCGCTCACAATTATTCCCATTTAAATACCTCCAAAATTCATCAACATTATCCGGAACCGGAACAAACCCAAACTGTACATCACACCGGTACACAAACCCATTATATTATGGAATACAATAATCCCTGTAGTCGGGGTAAATGCACCCAACAGACTCCGGATTTGGTGCAAGACATTGAGGAGTACCAATATTGGGATAGCCTGGCTCAGGATCGCCGACATCGTTTGCGTAGCTTTTTTCGTTGGCGTAGCCTCAAGACAAGGTTAATGGCCAATCGCAATTGTCAGTCCTTGCAACCGCAGGCCTTAAATAATCTGCAGGTTCACAAAATAGAACCACAACCTGTCAAGGCCCCCAACCCAGTCACCCAGAAAACCAAAACCTCTAAACTCCCCCAAAAAGTGGCCACACCCATAATAATTGTGGAAAATTACGATTCACGTATTGTGAAGAGGGTGCACACCCAGTTGGTGTTACATCCACGTAGTACCCAGGCCACTTGGGGCCACATGGCCAATGCTGTGGATCCTCTTCCACAAAATAATAACAACAACAATAATAATGTTGCAAATTCGATAAATACCTCCACCTCCTCATCCTCCAGTAGTATTTGGTTACGTAAATGGCATTTATGGAAATCGAACCGTGCCACCGACCATGTAACTCCCATTGAGGCTGTACAGCCGGATGAGGCCAGCAATGCTTCATCATTGATTGCCAATGACAAGCTTGGTGGCTTTTGTGGTTCTTCAACGAGAAATCGTAACAAAAATAAGCATAACGCCCCCTCCTCGAATAATACGACAAGTTCGAATACCTCCAATTGTATTACTCAGTAATTGGACACTTATTTCCGATGTTTGCTTCCTAATAATGGGATATGTAATGGGTGTGAGATTCACCAACAGTCACAATACCCGAGTCTAAGTGATATTGGTTAAGGAACTGATTTGATTGATAAGAGAGCAATCGAGAATGAGAGAGATAGAGATCATATTACGTTTTCTCTTCTCAATTGAAGTTTACGGATATGAGTGATAGATTCTCTTTGAGTAATTTTTTCTGTAGTAAAAAAATGTTCTGGTCCCCTGAGAAATTTTATTCTATAGGAAAAACTTGGTCAGGACAGCTCGAGGATTTTATAATAGGAAAAAATTTGTCAGGTTTCCTGAGGAATTTTTCCTACAGGAACAAATTTATCAGGTCCGCCTGTTTTCTGAAGGAAAACATTTGTCGTGTCCGCCTGGGGATTTTTTTCTATAGGAAAAAATTTGTCAGGTCCGCCTGAGATATTTTTCTAAAGGAAAAAAATTTGTCAGGTCCGCCTGAGGAATTTTTTTCTATAGGAAAAAATTTGTCAGGTCCGCCTGAGGAATTTTTTTCTATAGGAAAAAATTTGTCAGGTCCGCCTGAGGAATTTTTTTCTATAGGAAAAAATTTGTCAGGTCCGCCTGAGGAATTTTTTTCTATAGGAAAAAATTTGTCAGGTCCGCCTGAGGAATTTTTTTCTATAGGAAAAAATTTGTCAGGTCCGCCTGAGGAATTTTTTTCTATAGGAAAAAATTTGTCAGGTCCGCCTGAGGAATTTTTTTCAGGTCCGCCTGAGGAATTTTTTTCTATAGGAAAAAATTTGTCAGGTCCGCCTGAGGAATTTTTTTCTATAGGAAAAAATTTGTCAGGTCCGCCTGAGGAATTTTTTTCTATAGGAAAAAATTTGTCAGGTCCGCCTGAGGAATTTTTTTCTATAGAAAAAAATTTGTCAGGTCCGCCTGAGGATTTTTTTTCTATAGGAAAAAATTTGTCAGGTCCGCCTGAGGAATTTTTTTCTATAGGAAAAAATTTGTCAGGTCCGCCTGAGGAATTTTTTTCTATAGGAAAAAATTTGTCAGGTCCGCCTGAGCAATTTTTTTCTATAGGAAAAAATTTGTCAGGTCCGCCTGAGCAATTTTTTTCTATAGGAAAAAATTTGTCAGGTCCGCCTGAGCAATTTTTTTCTATAGGAAAAATTTGTCAGGTCCGCCTGAGGAATTTTTTTCTATAGGAAAAAATTTGTCAGGTCCGCCTGAGCAATTTTTTTCTATAGGAAAAAAATTGTCAGGTCCGCCTGAGGAATTTTTTCTATAGGAAAAATTTGTCAGGTCCGCCTGAGGAATTTTTTCTATAGGAGGATTTTTTAGGAAAAAAATGTCAGGTACGCCTGAGGAAGTTTTTTCTATAGAAAAAAAAAATTGCCAGGTCCCCAGAGGAAATTTTACAGGTCAGCTTGAGGATTTTTTCCCATGGAAAAGAACTTATGTGGACCCATGAGGAATTGTTTCTCTCTTCCATCGCTCTCTTAAATCAATTATGAATAACATTATACGATTTTTCATAAATACCTATGAGACCCCAGCCCCACATCCCCTGATTTTGGTGTGATAATAATTTTTTTCAAGATTTTTTTTTCAAATAAAAAACACATTTTTCGCATATATGTTCCAAAAACCTATACACTTCAAAAAAACGTAATATACTACCACATCTATTATTTCTTCCTCCCCTCTCTATCCCTATCTTGCACTCACACACTATACAATTATTTTAAGAATGTAAAATGTAGTCCATATGTTCTCTATGAAAATTCTATTCTTACAGCATGGCCCCTTAATTTTTGTCTACTCTGATTGTAACACATTTTTTTCGTAATTTTTTTATTATTTAAATATAAACTCTTTTATTTGTATGAATTATTTAATGTTGTATGATAAATGATAGAGAATTTTGTTAATAATTGAAACGAAAAAAATTGAAAAGAAACGATTAAATTTATTTTTGTATTGGTATTTCGAAAAAAAAAGAATTGTGTTTTTGTTTTTTGTGGTTTTATTTTTTTATTGCTCTATTGTATATCAAAAAGGTAAGTAACTAGTTGTAGAGTGTAAAGAAAATTCACCAAAGAATTTATTTGCAGACGAAATGTATGTATATTTTCGGAATATATAAACGATAACAAGGTTATTCGAACACTTGCGTATAATTTATGACAGCAATCATACGCATCAGTGTACCAAAAAAGCTATAGGAGAAAATTTGTCTATTCCGCCTGAGGATTTTTTTTTTAGGAAAAAAATTGTCAAATCCCCAGAGAATTTTTTCTGTGGTAACAAATTTGTCAGGTTCGCTTGTTGGAATTTTTACTATAGGAAACAATTTGTTAGGTCTGGTTGAGAATTTTTTCTATACGACCCCTAAGGAATTATTTTCAACAGGATAAAAGATTTTCTATAGTCCCCTGTCAAGTCCCCTGCAGAATTTGAGGTGAGGAAAACATTTGTCAGTTCCGCCTGAGAAAGTTTTTTCTATGGGAAAAAATTTGTCGGGTCCGCTTCAGGAATTTTTTGGTAAAGGAAATAATTTGTCAGGTCAGCTTGAGGATTTTTTTCTATAGAAATCAATTTGTGTTGTGAGCCCTGAGAAATTATTTTCCACAGTCCAATGTGGACTAGCCAAATCGATATACCTATGCGTTTCTGCAAAATAAAACAGACAAATACTTTAGTGTGAAAATTAAAAAAAAAAAAACTTTATTCTATGGCAAATATATTTAAACCATGGGTTTCAAATGATCTAGCCCGCGTGTGAAGGAAGATATTATCATTTATGTTGAAGTATGAGGTCTGCATAAACATGGGACGATTTTCATGAAATTTTACTAGATGTTCAGGTAACCATACATTGTTAGGTCCCTATACAATGGCACAGCTTCAAGTCATCTTTACTGTTTTTCACAGAATGAAACCAGTGAAGTTAAAATCAAAATAAACTAAATCCTTGAAAAATAGATCTGAAGTTTAAATATACATACATTTTATTTTATAGAAAAATAACTCCAAAACGTTTTAAAATATCCATTTCCTTCATGATAAGTCGATGCCGTATACATATTGACAGCAATAATACGCATCGGTGCATTACACATTTCTCAATGTGAAGAATGCCGTATACATTTCGACAGTAATCATACGCACCAGGTCACGGTAATATTTATTTATTTATTTTTAATTTAATTATTATTTATTTATTATTTTTGTCAACAATATCCTTATAAATTAAGATCCTCGATTCAATTTTTGAAACAGAACAGAACGTTTGAGGTCATTTGACACTCGATCTCCATTATTTCCCCTACGAAACTTTATATTGACATTATTCTACTATTTTTCTTGGAACACAAAATGTTTTCAAAAAATATATTTATATAGTAATGGAGTATTTCCTGAAAACTCATAGAAAAGATGTGGAAACCCTAAAGTTATAATGACAAAGAAGTCTTAATGTTTCGCCTGTGAAGTAAGTGAGATGAGTTCTATAATAATTCAGATATAAAATATGTTCGATTATCCAACTCCCCTCTTCTGTACTGAAAGTTTTAAAAGAGGGGAGATGGATAATATATTTTCAATTGAATCTCCTCAACAAAAATCTTAATTTTAAATTATTGAGGTCGATGATATCATGGCCTCTAAATAAGGTCAAGAGGATGGCGAATTTATGCCTTAGTCATCTCTTGCTGTCAACATTTTAAACCAGAACAGGCTAAAAACTAAAAACAGGTTTCAAATCCATATGTATTATTAGATATCCTGTTTATCAAGTGATCATCCGCTTGGTGTGCTTCCGCTTTATGTGGAATTCAGAATCTATGTCTATACAAGGCATTGAAGACTGGATCGCCATTAAAAATATTATTTTTTTTAAATTTCAATCTTTATAAATTAATTTATGGGATACTTTCTGAAAATGTCATCTCTATAAAAATTATAGATTATATTGTATCACAAAAATCCAGCTCAAATTAGCCATCATTGAATAAATAAATGAATGCGTATTAGTAACGACAGCAATCATACGATCCCCTGGTCAATAACATATATGTACTATTTTAATACTATTTGATTTTACAACAAAATACTGATTCGATTTGAAAAATGTTGCAATATCCGATGCAAAATGAACTCGAAAGGCTTACTATCAAAACCCTTGATATTGAAAGATATATTTGTTATAGTTTTTTCACAAAAAAACCTTTACAAAATAAGCCTTCATTCAATAAATAAATGTATCCGTATTAGTAACGACAGCAATCATACGTTTCCCTGTACAATCAAATGTATGTACGATTTTAAAAAATAGCGTGAGATTTTACAACAAAATTCTGTTTCGAAAAATTTGCAAAATACGATGCGATATGAACTCAAAAGACTTACGATCAAAACTCTTGATTTTGAAAACTATATTTATCATATTATTAACAAAAATCCTGCTCAAAATTAGCCATCATTGAAGAAGTAAATGTATGCGTATTAGTAACAGAAGCAGTCATACGATCCCCTGAACAATCAAATGTATGTACGATTTTTTATCGTGAGATTTTACAACAAAACATTGATTTGAAAACTATATCCGATACGAAATGAACTCGAAGGGCTTACTATCAAAACCCTTGATATTGAATGATATATTTGTTATAGTTTTTTTTTTAACAAAAAAGACCTTCACAAAATAATCTTTAATTCAATAAATAAATGTATGCGCATTAGTAACGACAGCAATCATACGTTCCCCTGTACAATTAAATGTATGTACGATTTTAAAAAGTAGCGTGAGATTTTACAACAAAATATTCGATTTGAAAAATTTGCAAAGTACGATGCGATGTGAACTCGAAAGGCTTACGATCGAAACTCTTGATATTTTAACGATACATTTACCAAATTTTTTCAAAAAATCCTACTCAAAATTAGCCATCATTAAAGAAATAAATGTATGCGTATTAGTAACGACAGCAGTCATACGTTCCCCTGCTCAATCAAATGTATGTAAGGTTTTAAATACAGTGAGAGGTTGATTTGATAATTTTTTTAATATCTGATTCGAAATTAATTCGAGCTGCATAAAGTTAAGTACTTTGATTTTGATACCTTTCAAAATTAAGGGGCTTGAGTGAAATATTTTTTACTCGAATTTGATCGTTTCGAATTCTACAGAAATTAGCTATTTATTTTTTTCATTTCCCCAAATTAAGGTAAGTATTTTGAAAATTTTTATTTTTACTGATTTCAAATAATTTTATTCCTAAAGTAAAATTTAACAAAGTTAATATTTGTAAAAATTTCAAATAGTTATGGAAATAAATTAATAACCCTTTCATATGCAATTCATACACCCAAGAAATGCGTTTATTTTGTTTTTCTTAATTATTGTATAAAATAATGGAAATCAAACGTTTTTTTACTCTCAGTGTTCATAATATTGTAAATGTTTAAACAACAATTATATGAGTGAATGCCAGGAACAAGAAAATAATTGCAAATTTTTCCTATATATTTCCATTCCCATAAAATTCCAACAAAAATTCAAAACAAAAAACAACTTTACAATACAACCTATGGCAACCTCTCCAAAAATGAACCAAACCACAAAAAAACGAAACAAAAAAATTAAACCTCAACAGCTGTGCATTCTAAAACCAGCTCCCGCAGTTCTTTGCAACAACCGATTACCTAAATTAATGGCACCTGCAATTTTTCCATAGAAAGAAAAAATACAAAACACCCCTACACACTCACACTGGAATGTTAGTAGTTTGAATGAATTCCAATATTTTTTTACAAAAAAAAAAACTAACGGAAAATTCCAATTCACGTTGTTTTTTAATTGGCATTACAAAACAAAATTTATTTTTAGATGAATTTCCGGATTTTTAAGCTAGGCTTAACTAACACTAACAACACACACCCAAACACTTGCAATTTTGTTTCGAGTACACTGCAAAAAAAAGAAGAAAACAATTAACAAAAACAAAATTTAAAATACCTCACATCTGAAAGCTGAATTGTTGAACACTTTTTTGAAAACCTAGAAGAAAAAAAAATAAATTAATTAAAAAGCAAAACCAAAATATTGCCTACCAAATATTTTTAAGACACAAAACTAAAATAACAAACCAAGAAAAATTCACCAACACAGAAAATTGATTTTTGATGGTTGGATACACCTATTTTAAAGACCCCCATCAACAACATTCACCCACCAGCACTACTACATGTAAGTAGTAGACTACACCTAATAAATACTACAATAATATAAGTAAGTATATATTTTTTGTTTTAAAAATATATAAAATTTTTATTTAAATATATTAATTTGTAGCCTACAACAGCAACAACAACAACAATTGTGTTCTCCTATTCTCTCCAAAACAAATTTTCAATGTCAGACACTGTGCTGCCATCTGTCTTAGATGCTGCTTGCTAGAGCAAAACCAAAAAAAAAAAATAAAAAAAAACTATTTAACAACGTAGATTTGCTTTGATTTGAATGTCATTTTGAAAACACTAAAACATTTTAGCGAACAAAAATAAAAAAAAAACTAATTTTATCTTTAGTTGCCAATATTTATTTTCTTTATGGCATATTTTTTATTTATTTTCTTTTCTGTTGTAGCTTCTGTGCCTTAGATAGATTGTAATATATAATATTTGTTTTATAATAAATTAAAAAAAAACTGTTTTAATATGCAGAAACTTTTTCCATAAGAAATGCATAAAGAAAAACATTAAATTTTGAGTTAATAAAGAAAGTTTTAAATATACGAAGACCATCATTGCGTATACGTGGTGACAGCAATCATACGCATCAATGTACTGAATATCATTGAAATTATTTTAAGGTTCATATTCAATGCTGAGGAGTAATTTTTGAGACAACTGTGGTATAGGAGCCTGCTGCTTCTGAATATTTTTTTCAATTATAGAAAAAAAATAAAAAACACAAAGAAAAGCCATGGAATTTTAATCAATATAAATGTTAAAATGTTGGCCATTGTTCCGTATACGTTGTGACAGCAATTATACGTACCAATGTTCTGAATATTTTTTTAAATTATATTGATTAGCAATAATATTTGAAGAAAATACGTTAATTGTAATAAAAGCCATTTTAAGTGCTGGTTTCTTTGGGCTATTCAGAACTTTATTACAATTAATGCATGAACAATTGCGTATACGTTGTGACAGCAATCATACGCACCATGGTACTGTATAACTTCAAACATTTTTAAGAGGCCATGCATTGAATAAATACCACTTTCAATTTCATCAAATTCATAATATTTAATGCTAAAGTGACATGTCTGGTCTGCGGAATCGCAGTTTGCTAATTTCACTTTGATATCTGTCGATGTCTGGCTCGGCAATATAAGGTGAGAGAAAATAAATTTCAATGAGAGAGAAATTGAACAAATGAGGCATTCGAGAAGCAAAACAAATAAGGCTTCTTAAAAAGCTCAATTTCCCAGTTAAAAAGTGATAAAACCAGCTGTTCGAGGTTGCGTATAAATAACGACATAAATCATACGCCCCCAAACACATCGTAATTTAAAATTATTGCACTACTAAATGTTTGTCTATTCTGTCTACCTTTCAGCGAAAATCTAGCTGAAATGCATTGAATAAAGACCACTTTCAGTTTCATCAAATTCATAATATTTAATGATGATGTGAAATGTCTGGTCTGCAGAATCGCAGTTTACTATCTTAGCTAAAGTCGATGTCTGGCTCGATATAAGCTGAGAGAAAATAAATTTCAATGAGGGATAGAGAGTCGAAGAAAGATATTCGAGAAGAATAACAAATAAGGTTTCATCATTTTCTCACTTCAAGGGTGATAAAATTTAATTAGATGAAATGCATTGAAAAAACCCACTTTCAGTTTCATGAAATTTATAATATCTAATTTAAAACAATTATCGCAGTTTGCTAACTTAGCTAAAGTCGATGTCCTGCTCGGTGATATAAGCCGAGAGAAAATAAATTTCAATGAGAGAGAGAGAGAGAGAGAGTTGAACAAATGAGATATTAGAGAAGCATAAGAAGCAAGTAAGGCTTCTCACAAAAGATCAGTTTTTTTTAATTCAAGGGTGATAAAACCAGCTGTTTGAGGTTGCGTATAAATAACGACATAAATCATACGCCAAACACATCTTATATAAAATAATTGCATTCCTGTTTTTAGGATTAAATTCGCTGAAATGTTTAAAATAAACCCAATTTCAGTTTCGTGAAATTCATAATATTTAATGTCTAGAATCGCAGTTTACTAACATAGCTAAAGTCGGTATCTGACTCAATATGAGCTGATTGAGAATAAATTTCAATGAGAGAGAGTTTTAGAAATTAGACATTCGAGAGGCATAACAAAGAAGTCTTCTCCAAAGGTTAATTTTCCCACTTCAGGGGTGATAAAGCCATCTGTTCAAGGTTGCGTATAAATAACGGCATAAATCATACGCCCTCCAAAAACATCGTAATTTAAAATAATTGCACTCATTTTTTCAGGCCCAAATTGTTGTCAATAATTAATAGTAATAATCAACACCCGACCGGATTAAATTTTTGTCTACCTTTCTGCGAAAAAAAAAACAAAAAACAGATGGACTCTAATCAAAAATTATATAAAAATATATTGGGATCTTGAAAATTAACAAAATTGATAGGATATTGTACCAGATTTCAGCCAATACGCATGGGAAATGTAGCTAAAAATATGAAAATATTCCATAATGGTCCTTAATGATTTATGGAGGATATATCTAATCGCGTACTGTAAACGTTCTACTCAGCTTGAGCCTCCCAATAGTATAATTTTTGGCAATGATTGGGTTCGATGGCTTGTCAGTGGCATATGAAATTTCCCAACATATAGTTGTCTTCCGACGCAACCAATCATTTATAAATAAGCCTCCAAGTCCTGAATTTCAGTCCCAAGTTCTTCTATTAAGTCCCGTCATACCTGCTAGCTGAGTGTCTTCTATAACAATAGTGTCCAAAGGCAATTTGTGCCAAGGTTCCTCGGTACATCTATATCTGTCCGGTATCGCAGTTTCATGCAACGTTACAACCCTTTTGGCAATAATTGAGTTCGAAGGCTGGACAGTGGCATCCAATCATTTATAAATATACCAGCAAGTCCTGAAATTTCAGTCTCATGTTCTTCTTCTTCCGTCGGGCATGCTAGCTGGGTGTCATCTCTATGACAATAGTGTCCAAAGGCAATTTGTGCCAAGGTTTCTCGGTCCAACCTTACAACCCTTGAACCTATTGTCACGAAATTTTCCATGTAGGTTCGTTTCTGGTGAAAGACGACACCTTTAGTAAATGTAGGTTATTAGTAAGGGGATCAAATGGACCAAAAATTGGATTTTAGTTTTTCTGATCGCTCTTGAGAAGATCTCTCTGAGTTTAGAGAAGAAATTTCTCTCTATATATTTATATTTATAGGAAGCCTCTATGTCCATAGAATCTCTCTGGGGATCTTATATTTTAGGAGGGTCTATCTCAATGCTCTCACTCTATAGAAAGCCTTTGACGGATGGTTTCTATCTTTTGAAATCTTGGAGAATTTTGCTGTATATAGAAGTGCTTTGTTTGCTTTGTTGGTCTGTAGAAGATCCCTGAGGCGTTTCTGTTTTGAAATCCGTAAAGGTTCTCAATGTATAGAAGAGTTTTGAAGGTCTAAAAAGTCAAGATATTGTGGCGTATTATTACGCATCTAAAGTATACGCTCAGAAGTACCCATGATTATTATTTTATTATTGATATTGAATATTTTAAGGGTCCTTTGCAGAGTTGGGTATTTTCTAGTCTTCGAAGGGTTTTCTGTCCATATGTGCCCTCCGTCGATTTTCTGTCTATAGACCGTAATTATAACCCTCTGCTAATGTAGATGTCCAATTCGAGAAAAGTAGTTCAACTGTAACTTCGCAGAAAGCGTATAGGGTAGTATTTTCTTAATAGTAATATTTTGAAATATACAGCTGGACGAAACTTTTTATAACCTTCACCATGTGGTATGCATTCAAAATGTCTTATACAGGTAGGGACGGGTCATTGCAAATTTTTTAGTGGTCATTTATTTATTCATTTAAAGATAATTGAAGGCCATGGAAATTCTCTGGTTTTCCACATAGATATGTTAATTTATAGCTTATGATGTAGAAAGTAATTTTAATTTTCAAAAAAAAAAAACCCTTCGAAAATGACAAAATCCAATAGAACTGATTTTGTATATTGTAGCGTATAATTGACGACAACACGTATACGCAATGATAACCCCTATTGATTAAATGACGTCTTTTACACATTTGGAAAATGTTTCTGCAATGATTTTTTTTACAAATTTTATTAAATTTTAAAATATTTTTAATAATAAAAAATAAGAAACTAATAATTATTAAATTTTCAATTTTTTTACGATTTTCAACAGATCATTTCTCTACAGGAGGAGGAGGATATCATTAAAGATGATTAGGATTTGGAATTAATTTAAACCTAAACGGATCACAGCATACATTCGATGCAATATGAGAAATATTTCATAAAATAAAAATATATTTATGAGCATGAACATATTTATGAACAGGTGAGAGGATACTGGAAAAAGGTGCATAACCTCTAGGCGACAAGAAAACCGAAACAAAAGAATACAGAGCTTATGGAAAAGTTGTCATTCCACACATTGTCACAACACACAT